GACGCACCTCAGCTGAGGCCCGAACGTCTGGGTGAGCCCAGGAAGGATCAGCAGAGGAGCTGCTCGGCTGAGCCCAGCTACAACTGCCACCAACAGAATCACAAGCTACTAAGTGATTGCTGCCCCGAGTTTGGAGGGGTCTGTAACACAGCAAAGGCTAGCTGGTCACAGGGTAATGTGATAGAAGACAAAGGAGGGTCCTGAAGAAGGATCCAGAAGCTTCACTCCAAAAAGAGGAATAACGCCATTGCCTGTGCATCGCTGGTCTGAGAAAACAACCAAGTAACACAGGCCAGCGCGTGGCCCATGGTGAGCACACAGCTGATGCGCGTTCCTCTCCTCTTCACTCAGCTTGTTTTTCCCCTCTTTTCAATGCTTTCTAAATTAAAGTCTCTATTTTGAGACTGAAATGCTGCTGACATCCAACAAACCAATCATTACCGTTAATAGTGTTTGGGGCCTCTGGCTTAGCAATCACAGGCAGGACGCCCCTCTCAGTGGTTTATGATAAATTCCATCCAGGGGAAGACTTTCTCCCCGCTCCAAGTCTGCACAGAACCCTGACACCATCCTACTCTAGAATAACTTCCTTGTGTATTTTGAGGTTTCTGAAATAAGCCAGGATTGCTTGGCTTAAGGATGGAGTCAAGGGCTGAATGCTGGCTCTCGTAAGGTGCAGCCCGAGCTGGTCCCTGAGAGAGTCCAGTGCACCTGCTCCTCAGGCGGCCAGGATGCAGTGCAAAGGGCACCCGACAAGGAGGCCAGGGGCTGGGCGGCAGCTTCGAGGAGTTGCCAGCTGTGCCCTCACCACGGCTCCCAGCAAAGGGAGCACCCAAGGAGATAAATCCCACCCGAGGCCCAGCCGTCATCCCGCCTGCGCCCTGATAGAGGACGTGTTCTCCCCATTGTCCTCCCTGAGAGGGCACCTCTGTGCAGTTCCCACGAAGACACTGACAGCGCTGGCAGCAGCTGTGTCCAGCTGACTCCAGGTCCCACTCGCTGTGACAGTGGGAAGTTATTACATCTCTCTGGATTTCAGTTTCCCCATTTCTAAAAAAAATGGGATTAAACTGAATGGGCTCTAAATTTACTTCCCATCCTAAAAATTTCCTGCACTTGATTTTACCGTATAATCAAGATGACCATCGAGATTCCTGAGCAGGACCTTCTGACTTAGAGAGAGCCGGGCTAAAATGCTCCAGGAAAAGAAGCCAGGCATGCTCCGCCTTCCCCCTCCCTTCCTCTGTCCCTCTCTCTCCCTTCCTTCCCTAACTTATTCATTCACTCAATAAACATTTACTGAGTGCTTATTCTATGCCAGGGATGTGCTGAGTTCTTGGGATACAGAAGTTATAAGAGCATCTTTCAGGACACAGCCACCTCACCATATCTGCTGCATCTCTCCTGTGTGCAGGCACCGGTTACATGACAGTAAGACAGGTCCCTGCCCTCCAGGAGCTCACATCTGGGCTGGGTGAGGGGACATCAACAAGTAGGCAGGCAAAGACAACCTATTATTATCAACCCTATGGTGGGGATGTCTGGGAGCCATTGCGTGGGCACTGAATCTGGACACAGGAGATCAGGGCAGGCTTCAGAGAGGAAGGTGTAGCTCAGCCATGAATGGAAGAATAAGAAAAGGCAGGAAGAATGTTCCAGAAGGGAAACAGCATTCACACAGTCCTGAGAATAAGAGTCAGCCTGAAGCATGTGGCTGGAGCTGGGTGCCAGGGCCTGGGGCACCAGGTGGGTCTGGAGAGGTGGGCAGGGGTCCTGGGGAAAAGGCCCTTGAAAGCCACACGGGCACCTTGGAACTCGTCCTGGGGATAATGCGGAGCTGCTGCAGCCCTCACACAGGCTGCTTTCTTAAAATCCCACACCTGTGGCTGTGGGGAGAAGGTACCGGAGGGGGTCAGAGACAAGTGACGAGGCTGAGGAGGGATCATGATGGGACATAATGAGCCTCACATCAGAGAAGGGACTGTGGCAGAGACCCCTGGACAGATCTGGGCTATTGCAGAGGCAAAGCTGGGGATCCAGGTGATGGACGGGGAGGGCAGAGTGAGGGAAGGAGGCATCAAGAATGATCCTTAATACGGTTCCCCAGATTTCTGCTTGAACGAATGGCTGGACAAGGGTGCTGGTCACTGAGACGGGGGCACTGGAGCGAGGGCAGAGTTCACAGGGAAAGGTAAGTTCTGGGGCAACCCGGAAGGCTGAGTCACCCGTGGGCATCTAGGGAGCCATGTCCTACCTGGGCCTGGGCTGGGGTCACAGGCAGATGGAAGCTGGGGGAGGGGAGCTGGGATGGAGCCTGAGGTCTCCACCGTCCTCAGGGAGGAAAAGGGAAACCAGGAGGCGCTGGCAGGGCTTGTAAGCTAGGATCCCACGGTGTTTTGACGGGGGCCTGCGGGTGCACAGAGGAGGGGCGGGGGCTTCAGCCAACGCTTCCCTGAGACAGCGACGCCTGACTTGAGGAGAAGAAGGACTTACTGAGCTCGGGAGCCCCGATAACAATATGCTCTAGAACCCGTCCACCCAATATGAGACACAGGACTGGCCAACAGGAAGGAAAGGGCAGGAACAATGGCCTGGATGGGGCTGCCTCTGCGGAGGACTCAGCATCTCTTACCTTGTTTCCCCTCCAGACCCTGCAGGCTGCCTGTACTTAACCCTCCCAGACCCAGAAGAGAGCCCCCTCGCCGGCCCAGCCATCCAAGAGCAGGGGCTTCAGAGCCTGGGGCCTCCTGCAGGGAACGTGAGGTGGAACCTGTGACCTGTCCTTGCAGAATATCATGCATACTATAGTTCTCTTAATGAGAACATTGTGCATAAGTGAGCGCGTACACACATACACAAACAGGATAGGTATATACACATACGTATACACACATTCAAAGTTTTTGCATATTCATATACAAAGAGAAAAATGCCTGGAAAGACAATCACCAAATTATCACTTTTTAATTTATATATTTGCATATTGTTTTAATAAACACGTACTAATTCTGAACTTAAGTCAATAAAAAGCATTTTATAATGCTGGTCAGACACTTAAAACCCATGAGTGTCCCTAAAATTGTCACCACATCTTTTCCTTGAAGGTTCTAGTCAAGGGAAAAAAGCAGCTCTGCCCTCTTCCAGGACAATGCAATGAAAACGACCCCACAAAGCCCCCTCCCTACAGAGCTGTGGCACTCTCTCAGGACTCTGTAATCCTGGTATTGTGCCTGGACCCCTCTCCCGTCCCCACGCACCGTTCCACTGTTAACACTGATGTGGGGAAGCCCCTGAAGAAGGAGGAAAATTGCTCAGGGTCTAACACTGGTGAGGAAGGCAAGACGCAAAACTGTAAATTCCCGTGGATCGTGATTCTGCACAAAAGAAGAGCGTGGTCACAAGAACTGCAATGGAGGGATCGTGCCTTCCTGACACAGAGAGCTCAGATACACAAACACCAAAATGGTAAGTGGGCAAAGAATACAATCGGGCACTCACATAAGGAAAAACCCGCAAAATGTTTAACGTAATTAGTGATTAAAGAATGGGACAGCACAATGGCAGACTGACTTTCACCGATCAAGTCAGCAAGGGTTTCACAGAAGCAACAGCACCCAGCGGTGCAAAATGCAGGGAGCGAGAGACACGGGGCTGTGGGCGTGCAAGTGGCGCATCTTCTGGGAAAGCAATTTGGGGGTAAGTGTCCTGATTTTGGAAAATGTTAAAACCTTGACCTCGTAATTCCACCTCTGGAAACCTAAAGAAATAATTAAAAATGCAAACAAATGTTTATTTATGGAGATGTTCACCATAACACAATGTATAGTAAGGCACACCCAAGTGCCCAATAAAAAGAAAAGAGTGAACCATCCCCTCGTGTACGAGGGGCCATCAAAAAGTTACCAATGAGTAGTAATGGTTACTCATAAAATGTTAAGTGAAAAAAAGAAGGATTCCCAATAACAGCTGGCGAATAACTATATAAGGAGAAAATCGTCTAAACAGACAGGGAATAGAAAGCAATAACCCTTAACATTAATGGTAAGTGGCAATTGGGGATAGGACCAGAAGAAAAACATTTTTTTCCTTCTCTCAGTTTTCTGACTTTGTATTGTGGTGATGACATTTTTATAATGAGAAGACACAGTGTATATATTCTAAAAATGGGAAGCACCCCCCTGCTCCCCTTGAAGCACCCCCTTCACTTGAGGCTGCCTCCTCAGACAGCCTCCGGAAGCGGTCCGTTCTGGCCTGACCGCCCACTGCCGGGGGCACTCTGTTCTCTTCTGCTTTGTTTCCGTGTGTCTTCAGCTCAGTTCAGCTCCCTTGGATGTAATGCACACTGTGACGTGTCTACACTGTGCAGGGACGCCTAGTGTCACCCAGAGGGGAGCCAGGGTGGGATATAGAGAGGTATAGACACAATCCCCTCCCTCCTAGAGCTCAGGGTTTAAGAGAAGAGCCGGACAGACACCCAGTGTCCCATAATCCAAGAACAACGGAAAAAGTGCCAGCAACAGCCCCGAGGAACCTGCTGTGGATATTTGAGGAAAGAAGCAATTCTGATGGGGGAAAGTGCAGAAGGCGACAGCTGAGCTGGGTAGCATGGGGACAGGCAGAGCAGAAGGAAGGGCATTCCTGGTGAGGGGAAGAGCAGGAGCAAAGGCCCAGCAGTGTAGCCGGCTTTAGGGGATGGCGTCGGGGAGAACAAGTACCCAGATGAGTTTATGGTAGAGAAAGAAAAGTGAGGCTAGAGCAGCGAAGGCCTTTGTGCCAGGCTAGGCAAATGGGGCTTTCTTCTGTGAACAGGGGGCCTGCAGGAGAAGAGGACAGACTCCTTAAAGAGGGCAGCCTGTTTTCCCACGGTTCAACCAGGAGTGCACAGCTCATGGTTTGGCGCGCAGCAGATGCAGATAAAGGGATTTTTAATCCCACACAACGGGATCCACCAAAGAACCAGGGATTCCAGAAGTGTGCCCCATTCCAGGGCTTCGACTGACCTTTGTCCTGCACCAGCACCTCCAGCTCCTCCCGAACGCCATCGTACCAGCTTGTGATGTCCACATGGAGGGAGTAGTCACAGCAGGATTTGGTGTCAGCTGCTTCATGCCATTTCTCGAAGGAGGTCAGCAGGCTGGACCCAGGTTCAGGGACAACATGGTCAACTGGGACAGAAGAATATGCATCATGTTCCAAGATGCTTACGAAACGAGCTCTTCCAATGGCAGCCTCTTCACTGCCATCAGCATCACCACCAACACCATCGTCATCACCATCACCATCATCACTACCATCATCGCCATCACTACCAGCCCATCACCATTATCACCATCATCATCATCATCAACACCACTTCCATCACCCAGATCCTCATCCTCATCATCACCAGCCTCTCCATCATCACTTCCACGATCATCATTGTCAATATTGCCATCATTGTACCATGACTACCATAACCACCAGCAGTGACATGGTCACCACCGTCTTCATCACCACCATTGTTATTACCTTCATCTTCGTCATCATCACCATCATCACAACTGTTTATCAATGCTTACTATGCATCAGACACTGCCTCAAAGGCTTTATGTAAATTATCATTAGATCCTGACAACTGTCCTGTGAGGCGAATATTAATATCCCCACTTTACAGATGAAGAAACTGAGGCTTAAAGAGGGTAAGGAACTTGTCCAAAGTCACACAACTAGTGAGCGGTGGGGAGAAGATTCCAGAATCCTCTTGGCTGCAGCCTGAACTCCTTCCTACCACTCCACACTGCTCCCGACGGCACAGAATGCCAAGGTGCAAAGGACCTTAGAGACTCACAGAACGTTAACTTCATCATCCCTTTTGCAAATAAAATCTAAATGTAAAGCAGATGGAAGGGGAGACGCCTCTCTTTGAAGCCTCACCTGGTCTTGCGTGTCCCTCTAGCTACTGTGCTGACTCTCTAACATCCACCCTTCCCAGCCAGACGTCTGTAGAGAGTCTGCTCCCCTCCTCCCACTCACTCCTCCACCCATCTAAAGCATCAGCCTTTGCTAATTCAATCTTCACATCTCAGGGTCTAACGGAAACACTCAGTCCGCACTCCACGGGACCTCTCCGGCCACACTGAATCCCTCCCTCCATCTTTAAACTTGCTCCTCCCTGGTGTCCATGACAACACAGCTTTCTGGCTTGTTGTCCTACTTCTGTGGTCATTTTTCTCAGTCTCCTTGAAGACTCTTCCTCCTCTGTTTGGCCATTAAGTGATGGAGCTCCTTATAGCTTGGTCCTGGAAATTTTCTTTCCTTGCAGCTGCTCATTAAAACGGCCCACCCGCTCTTAGCTGTCTGACCTCAGCTGCTTCCCTGACCCCGCCACCAGGAAGACTCAACAGCTCCTCAAAACCAAAAGGTCCCAAACTTCATGCAGCATCGCCCTCTCCACCGCCCACCTGCACACCTGGTCCCTCCCGCCCAGGCCCCAGCCGCGAAGGCTGTCACCTTACAGTTCCACAAGCCAGAGGCCAAGGGTCACTCTCGGTACTTCCTTTCCATCATGGACCATCACCAACACTGTTGATTTCCCTCCTACATGTGTCTGGAGCTGTCCCCTTCTGTCCACCTCCAGGGCCACACCCCTGGTCCAAGCCACACTCATCTCTCAGCCAAACTACTGCAATCACCTCCCACCGGCCCAGCCACATCCAAGCTAGACCACTCTATTCTGGCCACTTTAAAACTCAAAACAGATGACAGTGTTCCTTGCTTAAAATCCCTCAGTGACTGCCCATCACCCATACGAAAAAGACCAACGTTCTTACCCTGGCCGTCAAAGCCCACTGCCATCCTCTCTTTCCAGTCTTATCTCACACAATTCTGTCCCTCCACCTCTGCACCCCCGCCTCATGCGCCTTCTTTCAGTCTCTTAAATGTGAGATGTGGCCTCCCACCACAGGGCCTTTGCATATGCCATTCCCATTTCCTGGAGCTCTGCTCCCCTCCACCCTCTTCATCCAATTAACTGCTCCCCATCCTTTGAATCCCTGCACAAATGCTGCTTCTTCAGGGAAGCTTCCCTGAGCCCCTTGTCCCACAGCCCAAAGCACCGTGCACCTCTCTTCTGTAGCACTAGTCACAGCTCACAGCCATACGTGTGGGTGATCACCGACTCCCCACAAGACTGCGAGCCCCTGGAGAAAAAGCACCATGTCCGCCTTGCTCATTCTCTCCCCGACCACCTAGCCCCATGCCTGGCGCAGAGTGACCCTCGTTCAATGTCTCTTGAAGGAAGACACGGGGTGGGGACTCAGAAATCCCTGCTCCCCACCCCCTTACTCTGGTCCTCCTGTGCTTTCATGGGTTCCTGGTGTTCCATGCGACACACTTTGGGAACGACCCTTTTAGAGATGGGGAGGATGAGGCCCACAGCAGGAGGTGGCTTCCCCAGGGGTCTCCAGCTCGTGATGGGGAAAGACAAGGGGGGCCCAGGGGTCCCGGCTGCTCGTCCAGGGCTCTGCCCTCTCCTCCACACAGGCCACCTGTGCCTGGAACTGCCATCCCCTCTCAGAACCGTCCGAGCTCATGTTTCTGAAGCACTCACCACACGCCATGCGCTGCCCTGAGGAGCCTCACGCATGTCTCCTGACAGTCCTCGGGGGTGACATGAAGCCGAGGCTCAGAGAGGCTAAACACTGCCCGCAGGTGCACAGCTGCTGAATGGCAGCACCCAGGTTCAATCCCTGGCAGCTGGGATCCAAGTCTAAGTCGATCCAGGCCCAAAGCTGGGCCCCTCCCCTTCCCAACCAGGAGACACAGGGCTGCTTCTTGGAAAAGGGATCAGGATGGTGCTTGCCTCACGGACCGGGCCAGACCCTCCCAGCTCAAGGGGGTGGGGCAGCTCTGACACACCAGCTCCACCCAGGGTGGCCGGCTTCAGCCACAGTGTACTTCCGCAGGGCCTTCTACGAAGTGGGGAGAGGGGCAGGGCTGGGGCCAGCTCAGGGACGAGCCCCCGGGAGGCAGAGAATCTGACAGCTGAAAGAACATTTAAAATTAACTGTTGCCTACTTAATTAAAAATCACTTCTTAAAATGGGATCCAAGCAAAAGCAGCTATTAAGAAAAATACAACCACCAGGCTGCCCAGGGCAGCGGAGGAAGAGCCCAAGGTCCCAGATAGACCCCTGTGGTAGACGGCAGCATCTGTCCAGAGTTCCTCCTTCCCTCCCCGCCTTCACCATGGTTCACAGCGGGCAGAGTGCAATCCCAGGGACTTTGGGCTTGGCCATGTGACTTGCTTTGGCCAACAGAACGAGGGTGGAAGTCAGTGTGTCAGTGAAGCCACGAGGAGTGGTGAGCTCCTGCCAGACTCCCCTGGCCCTTCACCATCCAGCAGGAGACGAGTGTGGTTGAGTTGGTCATTGGACCCACAATGGGAGATCGATGGTGCTCCCTCTGAACCACCCCCCTACAGCTGAAGCAGAGCCACCCCAGTCCCGCCCCTACCCCTGCAGACCCCTGAATAAGAAAAACACGTGTTTTTGAAGTCTGGGGGTTGCTTGTTACACAGTGTTATGGCAGCAACATTGACTCATACAACAATTTCCCAGCTGTGTAGCCTTGAGGAGGTTGCTTCACCTCTCTGAGCCTCTACTTCCTCATCTGTCATAATAACACCTGTGTCACTGGTTCCAAAACTTCAGCCATCTGCACACCGTGTTCAGGAATTTTTGTTTTATTTCCCTATAATCCATAGCATTCTTTACTGAATACTTTTCTAAAATCAATTCACAGTTTCTAAAACTCTGAATGCTGACTTCAATATCACCCTAAGCAGTACTGTCCATGATGTGCTAGTTATCTTATTTCAATATGCAGTAAAGTAATTTTAAAAGTTTAATGTCTACATTGCCCATGAAATCATCTTGGGGACCAGCAGTGGCACCCAGAACATGCTCTGTGAGACGCTCAGCTTTAGGGGAGGGTTGTAGTGAGAATTACGTTAGACAGTACCCTGAGCAAAGTGCCTGGGGTACACTGAGCACTTGGGTGTTGCTGCTGATGGAGAAGAGAAGTCCCAGGCCACGTCCCTAAGGCAGGGGTGCAACTCACTGATCATTGTGGTCCCGCCGGCCAGCGCCGCCCTGGTCCCCTGGAAGAAGTCATCAGCAGCGGTCATGCCCTGGGAGGGCTTCTGCAGGTACGTGTTGACATCGATGCCTCCAGGGAGAACCATCCGCCCATTGGCCTCGATGGTCTTCACTCCCCCGGGAACGATTAAGTTCTCTCCTATTTGTCTGGAGACAAACGACAGAGACGGCCTTTGGTTCTTAAAAGAGAAACAAAATGGCAGTCAACTGTGCAGCTTCAGTTCCACTAGATAAACGTTTCTGAGCCAGGACCTATGCAGGGCACTGGTGGACAGAGGTCATTCAGGCAGGTTGCCTGCCCTCGGGCTCACGGCCTAACGAGGAGGAGGGCATATAGGCAGACGGTTACTGTCCAGCACAGCAGAGGGGTGGGGAGTTGGGGGGAGGGGGGTGCTTCACCAGCCTGCTTCTCTGGGAAGGCTTCCAGGGGGAGGCAGCACAGCTCAATCCAACAGATGTCTCCATCAAGGGTCCTCTGAACAGCCTGTCACTCCAGAGCACTTCACACACTTCAGGCAGCACTTCTGCCTCAGGGATGTGGAGGAGAGCGGCCGCAGCAAGACGGCGAAAGCCCCCTGAGCTCGGCATGCTCTCAGAGACAGTGCTGGGGGCTGACTGGTGACCCTCCCAACATCCACATGCAGAGGCCCTAGCCCTCAGCACCTCAGAGTGTGACAGTACTTTAAAGAGCAATTAAGTGAAAATAGGCTGTCAGCGTGGGCCCTAATTCAGTCTGACTGGTGTCCTTATAAGAGGAGAGGAGGACCCACAGAGAGACACCAGGGATGTGCACACAGAGGGAGGATCACATGAGGACACAAGGAGGGGACCGCCGTCTACACACGGAGAGAGGCCTCAGGAGAAACCAACCCTGCCGACACCCTGATCTTGGTCGTCCAGCCTCCCGAACCAAGAGAAATGAATTTCTGCTGTGTAAGGCTCCCGGCCTGTGGACTCGGCTGTGGCGGCCCGGGCAGCGCTGATCAGCCCGGCACCCTGGATGCTCATTTCGGCCACTCGTGGGCACTGGCCTCAGAAAGCTGCTTCGCTCTCAGCGTCCACATGACAAAGCTGCTAACCCCGTAAGACCTGCTGTGAGGGACACACTGGAGACAGCAGAGCTTTTCTGAATGTGCTGATCCTCGCTTCTCTTCCCCAACAGGAAGGTGCCTGCAAACTTCCTCCAGAAAGAGGGGAAATTCCACCAGTGGGGGAAAGAGGGAGAAGAGCCTAAGAAGCTCAAAGCCTTGCCTCCTGTGGTGACGGCCGTGTGTCATCTGCTGGAACCAGAGTCAGCAGACACAACGAGGCACGGGTTGAGGCTCAGCCAGAACCAGGACACACTCAACAGGCGCCAAGGCCAAGCCCTGCTGAGACCACTGGATCCGACCACGAGTGGATTTTTATATATTAAAAATCCAGTTGTTCTGAACTCCTAGAATTAGGCAGCAAAATTAGTTGTCTTAAGTCACATAAAAACACCAAGTACGATGACATAGGAAAACGTTGCTTCAGCGACCACACGGTCAGGCCCCAAACAGAATGCGCACCCGGTGGCAGAGCAGAAGCTCCCTGCGCTGCGGGACTCGCGGGCTGGGCTGGTCCAGGCAAGTCACACGGGGGCACAGAGGCCATGGGGCTCTCTCTGGGGCTCTTGCACAGAACTGGGGTGTGCTACACTGTCCGTCCTAAAACCGGAAGCAAGTCTAGCAGACACACACAGTGCCAGGGACAAGGCGAGGGGCCAGGAAATGTCAGCACTGTGGCCACTTCCACTCCACCCACAGCTGCGGCCACTGCTTCCGACGCCAGTCCCCCCCTCCACAATGTCCGCCTTCCTTTACAGAATCTGGCCTTGCCCAGGCCTCCACCATTCTCCAGACACCCGGCCGTGGGCCGGGAGCTGGAGCGAAAGGCAGGGGACACCCACAAGCCTCGTAACGGTTGACCGCTGGGCTCCGACTCTTCTAAGCCCTTCACGGAGGATCACACTTAATGCTCACAGCTAGCTTTTCAAGAAGCCGGGGAAACATTCAACATGTTTACCGCTGGCAAAGGCACAGGCCGTAGACACTGGGCATAGCCCCCACGTGGGTATCGGGGTTCACGGCCCAGTCTGATTCGAGTCTGTGACTCAGTCGCTGTGCCGGGGTGCCAACAAGCACTACGGTTCGGGGCCCCTTCTCAGCAGGCATGACGGTCGCCTCTCTTTACAAACCTTCCCTAATCTCCTGCCAACAACCATGGGAGGGAGGAAATTTTCACATTTTGCAAAGGAGGAAGACGGAACTCAGAGAGGTGCAGTGACCTGTCCAAGGCCACCTAGTGAGTCAGTGGTGGGTCTGGATTCAAGCCCAGTTTACCCAAGTCTAACGTTAGGGCTCTGCCCACCAGGCTCTCCTGCCTCCCTGCTTGCCCCGTGGACGGCAGCAGATTCTCCCCAAACTGGGCTTAAACTAAATGGAACCCCCAGTAACTTAGGAGGAAGACCCCCTGAATGGCTCTCAATGGCCGTGTGCACGGAAGGGCAGGAGAGAGGAAGGAAGTGAGGTGAATTAGACAGATCCTCCCATCCCCCCGACCCCCCACCCTCGCCACGACTCAGAAAGTCCTAGAGACCAGCATTAATTCACCAACACTTAAAGGGAACCCTCGCTTGGACTGGACGGGACACTCAATGAGTAGTAATAGATGCCACACAAACACAGCCGAACAGCTTTCAGGGAAGCTTGGCGAATGGCCACACGATGGAAGGATTCTGGGGTTCAGTCAGAGTGAAGGGAGGCCACCGAGCCCCTCCTGCAGGTGGTGCTGGGGTCCCCACAGGCCGTCCCCCGACCCTCAGCCCTCCCACACCGACTTCTCAGCCAGCGGGGACTCGAGCTCCAGACGACCATCCGAGGACCCGGTCACTTGCTCTGCCTAACAAGGCGGGCAAAGCAACGCCCATGCTGGGAAAGCTTTTAGCGCCAAGGTTAAAACCGGGTTTCCCACTAAGAGGAGCTGGTGATTATTGAATTTATGGAAACTGCGTTTTTCCTGAACAACCTGGTTTGCCAAAGTCCCAAGACTCGAGGCATTCATGTATACAGCAAGCACGTAATAAATGCAGCTCAAATGGTGAGCACTGACTTCATCTGTATACATCCTGGATTGCAAAGCTTCTAAGGGGCTAAGCTCAGACCACATGTGGCCGGCGGGAATGGCGGTCCCGTGACAGACTTCTCAGTGTCACTTACCCCTTCAGGCCGCAGGACCCCAGAGCCCCACCCCCCCCACAAACGGCGAGCTCACCGTTTGAGCTGTCTGTTCATCGAAGCAGGGGTGGACTCCGAAACCTCACTTTCTGACACTTCTCACCACGCTCCCCCACCACCTCAGCTGCCTTCATCCCCTTTCTGGTTCCAGGTAACGGTGGCCAACACCAAGGTCCCACCATCTGATGTGACAGGGCTCATTTGTTAACCTTTGGCTTAATCAGTGCTCCCGGGACCTACGTTTTACCCAGCTCTGTGCTGGGCCCCAGACGGGGTGGGGGGAAGGCAATTAGGTGAGGGCCCCGCCAGGGGCAAGTTCAGCATGTGGAGAGTGGGCTGGAGCGCACAGAGGGCTGCGGCCGGCTCCGGGACCAGGGAGGCTGCCCGCAGGAGGAGGCACAGGAGCTGGCTCCCAGGACAAACCGGAGGTGGGGGTGGTGGGGGCACGATGAGAATAGGGGCAGGCGCATGCCAGGCAGAGGATTGTGGGTGCAGGGCTCCCAGGAGAGAGCGGCCTGGCAAGTTCTGCGAGTGTCAAGTTTGAACGCCAAGCTCTCAGTGTGGCTGGGAAGAGGGAGCGAGGGGAGGCGAGGGAATGATTGGGGAGAGGAGGCCTGCACCGGGCTTGAAATGGTCCGAGCCTGGGACCAGAGCTGGGAGGTGGGCAGAGGGAAGCAGGACGGCTGGATGCCGCCCTGAGCACCAGCTCTTCACAGGGCACTTTGCACATCTTTGAATGCTCATGACCACCCACAGCCTCCTCCTCCTCCCTTTCTCCTCCCCTCTCCTCTCCCGCCCTCCTCCCCCCTCCTCCCCCTCCTCATCATCCTCAAGGCACACACAGGCCCCGCAAAGGTCCCGACAACAGGCCCCATTCCTGTTGGACCTGCACTCTGCTCACACTTCCCCACTTCCCTTCGGGTGCCAGCCGCCCGGGCTGCATCCTGAGACAGTCCCCGAGAGTCTCGTCTTCCAGACTCCAGGGGAAGAGGCTGAGCAGCGAGCGAAGCCAGGGTACCCATCACATGGAAAAAAGAGACCTGAACCCCCCATTACTAGCCGGGAAACGTGGAGGCCACATGAAAGCCGCAGTCTGGTGTCACAGACTGAATTGTGTCCTCCCAAATTCATGCTGAAGCCCTAACCCCCCACGTGGCTGCATTTGGAGACGGGGCCTTTAAGGAGGTGACTGAGGTTCAGTGAGGTCATAAGGGTGGGGCTCTGATCCTTAATCCTTATAAGTGAAGGCAGAGGCACCAGGAGTGCCTGTGCAGAGGGCAGGCCACGGGAAGGCACAGCGAGAAGAGGGCCTCGCGAGCCGAGAGAGGCCTCAGGAGAAGCCGAGGCTGCCAGCACCTCGGTCCAGGACTCGCAGCCTCCAGGACCGTGAGAAATCCATTTCTGCTGTTTCACTGGCCCAGTGTGGGGTACTCCATTACGGCGGCCGGAGCAGGCTAGTACCCCCGGGATGTCACAGCTGGACTGAAGAGGGAGCCGATAGGGAGAAAGAACGAGCAAACTTCCATCCCAGCACACATCTTCTCTTTAAGGGAAAGGCTCTGTTTGGAGACCAAACATTTCTCCTTTCTCTCCGGGCTCCCTCAACCCAATTCCAGAAATCCTGGGCAAATAGAAGAGCGAGCTGTGAATTCAGCGGGATGTACTAGGTTGGAATCTGGGCCTTGCCCCTAATGCATTCTGCAATGGGGACCAGCCACTTACGCTCACTGGCCCGCCACTCCCCCAAGCACAGAGCAGGGGCCAGGGTGTGTTCCACAGCCTCTGTTTGTGCCTGAACGGAGATGCCTGCGTGAGCTGCAGCAGAGAGCCAGGCACGGGGTGGGGGCTCTCAGGAAACGCGAGTCCCTTCTCCCCCCGTAGTTTGCCCACCCCCCCCCATCTCTCCATCCCTGACATTCACAGGGACACAGCACATTCACTCTGGGGCAGAAAGCCAGCCTCCATCCCCGCTGAGGGCCAGGCGGCGGCCCAGGGAGACCGGCTTCTTAAACGGCACGTTTGGTGAACGCACTTTATGAGTCCGTCTTCCAGGTAGACGTCAGCGTAGAAGGACTGGTCATCGTTGATGATTCGCCCACCTTTGATGAGGAGTCGATCACTCTGAAAAGCCAAGCAAAGTAGTAACCGTCACTGGGGAAAAGCCAGGGAATGCTTCTCTTTTTAATTTTTAACCCAAAATTTCCCAAATACTTTCGAAAGTAAAGAAATGACATTAAAAACTGCCTCGTATCCATCACCCAGATTCAAAAGCATCAATACACGGCCACTCGTGTTTCACCCATTTCCTCCTCCTCAAACAGTTTTGCTTTGTTTTTTGCTGAGGTATTTTAAAACGAATCCCAAATATTGTATTATTTCACCTATAAATACTTCAGTACATATCTCTGTTGAGGAGTTTTTAAATAAACATAACTAATAATCCATTATACCAACAAACCCAGCTAACATTAATTCCTTCACATCAGCTAACAATCAGACCACGTTCAATTTTACTTGATTGTCTCAAAAGTGTCCTTTTATAGGAGCTGGTTTGAATCAGGACCCCCCCCCCCCCCCCCACCAAGTCCCCTCACGGCCTCTGGCTCACAGCCATCCACAGTCTGTTCAAATCTGTACCAGCCCCTCCCCCTTTCCAATACCATTCATTTGTTAAAGAAACTGGGTCATTTGAAGAACAGGAATTTCTTAAGGCGTTGTTATTAAATGTAATAAAACTCAATTTAGAGACATTTTAAAAGATAGTGAAAAGACTAAAAAAAAGCTACACCCCCAGAACAACTTCCAGTTGACACTTTGGTGTTTTTCTCTATCTTCTTCTCTATAGTTGTGACCCTCGTGCCCACGTCCATTCACCCATCTGCGCACCCATCAGACACCGGGCGATTGCCTTGGCTCCAAGCCCAGGGCCGAGCTTCCAGGAGGAACCAGGGATGGAGCTGGAAGGTGCTCTCATGGAGCTGAGGTGGGGAGAGACAGGGTTAACAAACGTGGAGTGTGTGGGATTACAGGGGGAGAAGCGCAGGGCGCCCAGCAAGGGAGCAAAGTAAAGGGGCTTCCAGCCTTACTGGGGGTCAGGCAAGGCGAGCTCAGACCTAGAAAACAGGTCAAGATAAGCTGGACTAAACAAACAGTGGAGAAGAAGTCCAGGTAGGGGGAATGTTCCATCTCTGGGCAGAGAGAACTGGTGGCACAAGGCCCAGAGGCAGCAAAGAATCTGGCAAATTACAGGAGCCAAAAGGAACACACACTTGTGTCCTTTATGCATGTACCAGAAGCGCGTCCCAAGTTATTACGTGTTCTACATAACCATAATTTTTAAATGGCTACAAAACGTTCCATCTTATGGATACATTGAACAAATTGTTTAATCATTCCCCCACTGTTGGACATCTAAGTTATTTCCACTGTTTCACAATGACACATACTGTTGCAATAAGCATCTTTGTGCACAAAGCTTCTCCCTTCCCTTGGATTATTTGTTAGGCTAAATTCTCAGAAGCTCAACAACTGGGTCCAACAGTATAAACCTTGTTTGTGGCCCTTGATTAATACGACCAGATTGCTTTCCAGAGATGTTGCCCCAGTTTGCCATGCGTGATCACCAAGCACCTTTGGTCATCATTAATAGTTGTTAACTTGCATTGCTTGGAGCCTGAGAATGTTTTTTCATGTGCTTATCTGCTACTTGTATTATCTCCCAGCTGGAGGTGTGCTGATGGATACAACACAGCCTCTGCCCTTACTCCCCACCCCTTGAGGAGAGGGAAAGACAGTAAACGGGCAATAACAAGTCAGGATGGCCATTTCTGAGGGACTGTCATGCATGGGTTCCCCTGAAAGCAGGGCCTGAGACAAGGATGTGGAGGCAGGCAGTGTATCGGGAGGTGACTCCAGGAACTGGGGAGAGGAGAGAGGAAGGGAGGCGGCATAGAAATCCAATCCAGGGTGCACCCTGATCTGCCTAACACTGTGGGCAGGCGGGGCCTGATCCCACCAGGACCCTCTGAGGAGCTGCACACAAAGCCCCCTGGAGAGGTCCCAATGGTCCCACGTATCGACCATGAGAAGAAGGGTTTACCCCAAACCAAGGAACCAGGGAAGGCTTGTGGAGCAGACGCAGAGCATGCAGCCTGCTACTCAGAACCCTCTGTGGGTTCGTGCATCAGTATCGTATTCCCTCAGAGCAAAAACCAAGGTCAGCGAAACCCCCTCAATCAGGAATCCCACTCTCCAGGCAAAGCTCAGGCTCGCGCTTGCTCCAGGTCTCTGCTCGATGTCCCTGAGAGCTCTGCCCTTGGCTGCCCTGTTTGGAACACACACCGCTGCCCCACCAGCAGACCCCACACTCCTTTCCCACTTTATGTTTACATAGTACTTATCATAGTGCATCTGACAGACTATGTATTCATACGTTTGTCTACAATGTAACTCATCCCACTGACAGCTGTGATGTGTGAATCCGCTGGCTGCATCAGGCACAACTTGCAGGGGACCAATCGCATCCACCTTGACATGGATGGGTGGTGCCACCTAGAGTTGTGCCCTGCAGTTGTCCTTAGAGACTCTTAGCTCCACGGGGGCAGAGATTTCATCTGTTTTCTTCACTGCTGCATCTCTGATACCCAGGACACAACCTGGCTGGCAGGCTGGATAGACGGATAGATGAATGGATGGATGAATGGATGTCTGAACTGATTCTTGAAGGATGAATGGGTGAAGACGGAAGAAAAAGGCATCACAGCCATGAGCCAAGGAGCTATGAGCCACGAGCCAAGGAAGAGAAGGATGAGCCAGCACGTCCTGTTCCCAAGCAGGAGGGTCTCTGGAGCTTCAAGCTTAGTCACTCCCAGGCCCAACAACCTGCCTCTCATCCCTAAGATAGAAGCCAGCCACAATTGGAGCATCCCCATGGAGGGGACTCACCAAGCCCTCAGGAGGATATTCCAGAACCAAGGGAAAGGGGAAGCGTGGGCTCTGCACGTCCAGAAGCAGAGACAAGCTGGTGCGCAGGTTTCTCCCTGGCACCAGAAAGCAGGGAAACGTGAGTCCTCAGCAGCTGGTGTGTGGCTTCCGGAACACGGCCTCTGCGAGGCAGCCGTCTGCCTTGTCACATTTAATGGTGGGCTTTTCAGGCTCAGCCTGAAAGGTGGTGTTTAACATGCTGTGCGCCAGGAGAGCAGCCACGCCCTGCTCTGCTCTTCCTAGAATCAGAGGGCGGAGCTTGTGTTCAAATCCACGTGCTCCCCGAGCAGGTACTGTGTGCAGCTGCTGCAAGGAAGCCAGGCTTGCTGTGCTCCGGGGTCAGTACTGTCCTTAAAAAATGGGCCTACAATGAGGCAAGAGCTGATGCAACTTCCTCACTTCCTTCTTTAAAATTAGTGGTGCTTTTGCCTTTTAACTGGGATTTTCAAAACCACGTTCTTTGGAACTCTAGCTCAGATGGGCTTTCGCAGACTTTGTCCCAAAAGGGGACACCCAGGTGTAGTGTCGAAAATTTAGGTTAAACAGAAGCAAAGATTGTCTTTGTGACAGGCACTCCCAGATCCTTCGCTCTGCTGTGTAATGTGAATATTCAAAAGGGGAATCTGAGTTCATATCTTTCCCAAAGTTAGGTCCTTTCATTTTGTGGGAAATCTGACAAGGACACTTTTCCTCAGCAGGCAGCTTAGCAAACGTGCTTTACGAGAGTGACGCTCTCCGTGCCCGCTCGCGCTGAATGGTTCTTACGGAAGGCTGGGTCTAATCGGACCTCAAGGGGACACGGGGCTTGGAGACGGGGTGATCTCTCTGATCACACAACTAACAAGGGCAGAGGTTAGACCCAAGGTTTCCTAACTTCCTGCCCAGCATTTGCTCCATCAAACACACTTCTGCCACTTTTTTAAACATTTTCACACTCTGGAATCCATGACACCCTGTAATCAGGTGAATTTACAAAGAGCCTCAGGTCTGAGATCCAAGGACCTCACTCTCCAGGGCTCCCTTGTTTCGTGCAGGAAACATGACTGTGAAATTCCACAGATGCATACGCCAAAAAGAGTGAATTTTATTGTACATAATTTTTTCGAATTTATAAAGTCACAGATTTAAAAGAAAAATAATACCATCCCTGTCCACTGTCTCGCACAGGATTACTGTGAGAAGCAAACAGATGGAAGATATGAACAATGACAGAGTCTGGATAAAAATCGCCATTTAAATATGTTGAAGAAAATAAAATATCCAACTAAAAATTTAACAGCCAGCGACTGCCAGTTCATTCCGCGGTGGCAACAGTGACCTAAACAGACCTATGCTCAGTGTGGCTCGTGTCCCTGGGTCCAGATTGTGTAAGAACAGAATGTCCAGAGTTGGAGAGATGCAGCTCCCAATCCTGCCCACTTAATAGCCACGTGACTTACCCGCTCCTAGCCTCAGTTTCCTCATCCAGAGAATGGGGATAATTGTCCCCGCCCCACAGGGCTGTTGGGAGAACTCCATGGGGTGTGTGTGTAGAGTGCTTAGCACAGGCCTGGCATGTGTAAATACTCAGGATAGTTACCCATTGTTCACTTTGCCATTTTCTGTAGCAGGAACTACACTCAATAAATATTTGTTTAAGGAAGGAGTGTGTGCAGCCAAAAGAAGTAGTTATTGCCCTTAAGGAGTTCTCATCACCAGGCCTTGCACCCCAGGTAGGAAGGGCTGGGACAGACGGAAGTGCAGAGGGCGGCAGAAATACACAGGAGGCCTCCACTCTAGCCCGTCCGGGGGAATGATGGTTATTCTGAGCTTGAAGAATGAGTAGGAATTAGCCACCCGGCAAAGGAGAAAAGAGATTGCAGAGAAGGGAGTGGTGGACGGAGAAAGGCTCAGAGGTCAGAAGGAGCCTGGCATGCGTGGGGACCTGCGAGGGGTTTCCTCCGGCTGAAGTATGACCTTAGAGTGGGAACCCGGAGAGCGTGCAGGTGCCAGCTCACGGCGACTCCGCCGCCATGCGTAGATGGAAGTCTCAGCTCCATCATGATGGTGATGGAAGGATTTCCATCAGGGAAGAATCAAATGCACGAAAGTTTCTGAAGTAAGACAGCACGCACACACTGGGCAGAAGCGGAAGAAGG